AAAATAATTTAATTTTGTTTTTTATTTGAAAAATAAGCTAATGTGTAAGGTTAGAAAAGAAAGTTGGAATGCAACTTAGAGCATGTTTATAATGTGCACAGAAAAAGCTTGAGAATGATCATTTTGGTTTAAATGTGCTGGTTAGTTGATGTTATGACTACTTTAAAGTTTAAGGATTGTGACACACTCCTATTGAAAAACCTCAGTGTAACTTTAATATATTTGCTGCTGTGACATTTCAAAACATTTTCAGTTTATCAAAATGAATTACAGATTTCATTTTGGTGGGCGATACATTATCATTTTGCTAATAACCAAATTTGCAGTTTGTTCAGGGTCTTGAATAGATTAACAGATATTTAACACTGAAGCCGTTTTGAACTTTCAGTAATGTAAACTCTTTACTAACTGGGTAGTTAGAAGCTGGGCAGTGCATTTTAACTTTTACTAGACTCATATGAGACCAGTAATTTTTATAAAACAGTTTTAAAATATGGGTTCAGAGTATTCATGTGAGTTTATGGAGTATGCAGTTTTAGTAGTAAAATGTTATAAAGCATGTACCTCATATAAAGAGTGGGGATTTGCTTTATAGATTGAGACTTCTCCGAGTGCCCCCTTTTCTCTATTAAAATTCAGGTTCTGATCATTTTCCTAAGCCAGTTTTTCTAAATCTAAAAGGAATTCTTACAGCTGAATTTAAAAATAAGTGCACCTTGTCAAATACGTGTGTTTCTACACTTGTATTTGTGTGTATTTAATAATCATTTACATGTAATTATTCAGCTATTAAATTTTAAAACCACTTACATGCATTTAAAGAAACTGGAGAGTAAGAAAATCCATAACCAGGTAATTCTTTGGTCTCTGAGATCTGTATTGAACCTTTTCAGCTGTTAGTGTTACCTACATACTAGGGTATGAATCTTGATTTCCCTCCCCCCAAGAAAATACACATATTAGATTACAAAACAGCATATGTCAGGGTCATCTTTCTTTTTAAAGAATTAAGCCATATTTTGTGAGGGCCAGAACTTGGATTATTAATATATTTCCCCCTCCTCCCACAGAAAAACAAAGTTAAGAAATAAATGCTTCAAAATCAGTTTTATTGACCTCTTTATACAGAATTTACTTGCAGAACTTTGGGAGCTCAAGTGCATTATGTATTGTTAATGCTGTACTGAGCTTTTTTATTCCTCACACTATATTTACAGTGATAAATTGATTGAGAAGTTTATAGTAAAGGGAAACTTACAGAACACTTTTATATCATTTAAAAGATGACCTGACCAAAAACTTTACAGGATTCATAAATCAGGGATCATTTTGCTATTGACTTCACAGTGATCAGTAGTTTTATAGGTGATATTGTAGTTAATTTGCAGCATTTTAGTACTTGTATTATTTATTTTTGGTCAGAAATAGTAAATTAAAATATTTTTTGATAGTTTATAGGTAATGATCAACCCATAACTTTTAAAAGAAACAAAATGTTTCTATAACTGAGTTAACTTTTTGATTATACAAAATAGGAAAGGCAGGGAAATTTATGGGCTCCCCTTCTCCCTAGTGGTTTTATTAAGATGTTCTTTATGTTAAACTTTCAAAGTACTTTATAAGTTTAGTTCTCAGTTACTACTTAATTGACAGTTTTCTGAAAAGTCCAGTTTCAGCAGACTTTAACGAAGATGAAGCACCCTTATGTGCTTTCTACTTATTTGAATGTTCCTCAAGTATTTTATATTTAAAATAAAAAAGAAGGAAAAGAAAAAACAGTGCCTCTGTTTTTAGAAAACTACTGCTCAGTAAAGTTGTTTAACCATTTCTGGTAGCTAATGACAATTTTATATTAAATTGTATACTAACTTTAGTGAGACTGATTTTTTAGTTGTTTACAGTACAAATACTTGTGTTTGTTTTTTAATTGCAGTATTTCCATTGTCGCAGTAATTTAGTAAAACTCTGTGGCTGCCTTGATTTTGACAGATTTTGTTAATATAAACTGATTGTTAGGCAATTATATTTATGCATAAATCAATTGCACTATAATTCATGAATTATTTATTACAATATTTTCTAATGAATTCATGTATCTGTCTTGTGTTGTAAATGTACTGTAATTCTGTTCCTACTTTGTGTTGTTATATATCTAAATCTGATTGTATGAATTTTAATTGTTCAGTTAATGTGTTTCTAGGTTGTAATTTGTAGTAAAGCACTTCAATGCTTTTGCACTTAAATTTACAACACTGTTGGTGTGTGATTAATTTACTCATTCAGTAAAAGAAAAGAAAAAATGGCTATACTGAATTCTTTGTTTCCTTGTAGAAAGTTTTATTGAAAATAGCATTAAAAATTGACATTTTTGAAGAAATATTCACCAGCAATCATCTAATGGAAAAGAAGGGGATAGTAACAAAAATAAGATGTTTGGGTTTATAAATCAAACAAGATAAAGAAAAAACATTAACATATGAAATCTATGAAAAATGACTGTAGGGCCTTTATATAATTACTTTAGAATAACCTGTAGGTTGTAGACTTACATGTGTTTATTCACACATTTTTCTTTGAGATTCTAAAATAGAAATAAAGAAAAAAGCTTTGAGGTCAAATAAATATATTTTAAAATTCTATAATTTAAGAATTAATGTAGGCTGGAGAGAGAGCTCAGCAGTTAAGAGCACTGCCTGTGCTTACAGAGGGCCCAGGTTCAATTTCCAGCACCCATATGGTGGCTAACAGCTGTCTATAGCTCCAGTTCCAGGGGCTCCAACACCGTCTTCTGACCTCTGTGGGCTTTGCAGGACACAGGCGCTTTTAAATACATGCAGGCATTACACTCATACACGTAAAATAATAAGACACTAAAAAAAAAGAATTGAGTTGTACTGTGATATATAAGATTGAATCTGATGTCTGAGTAGCTGATCAGCACCTGTATTAAGCTATTGTTCATGTTGCATTGAGAGAGAATTATTAGCTACTGGTATTTTAATGCTTCCATTATTAAAATTATTAAGACTGAATAGGAGAATTCTTCATTAAAACTAAAGATTTCCTTGGAATGTCAGAAAATATAAAATCAGTGGTTTTGACAATTTTATGAGCTTAATCAAATTGAAATTATAACATCCTTTTCCTATTACTTAACACTTGCTGGTTTTGATCATTTCTGTTTTAAGAGGACATACTTTTGATGTTGGAAATTGGATGCAGGGCTTTGAACATGCTAAACACACTCTCAGCTCCTGAGTATTTCACTAACAGAAAAAATGCCTTTGCGCATTTTAGGGACTTTTAGGAAAAGACACTATGAAATATAGTCAACACAGTTTTCCCACAGACTTGGAAATTCTCTGGTTTATTATTCGTTAATAAATATGCTGAGTAAGCCATCACACTACTTCAGGAACTGTTTGGAGTATCTTTTCAGAATATTTTGGATTTTCTTTTGCTTATCTGAAATTATAAATATTAATTTGCAAGAAAAAATATAATGCTCTCCAAACATTTAATGGTCATCATTTCACATCACTTGCTATCTACATTTTAACTTTCTGACACTAAATATTGAGTTATTTATAATATTTTACTCTCTTGACCATTACAAAATTTATTTTTTAAAATGTTTTCAGAAGGGAAGGACACTGTGGTTGTAGATCTTCTGTCTTGAGGCTGCACTGACTCTAAAGACCTTTGTTTGGATTTCAGTCTCTTCACTGAGTTTGCTTTCTTTATGTCAAACCGTGTACTGGTCTTTCTAAATCATTGCTAGAATCTGATAAAGTTGTTGTTGTGTTTTTTTTTTAAAATTTATTTTTTAAAATGTTTTCAGAAGGGAAGGACACTGTGGTTGTAGATCTTCTGTCTTGAGGCTGCACTGACTCTAAAGACCTTTGTTTGGATTTCAGTCTCTTCACTGAGTTTGCTTTCTTTATGTCAAACCGTGTACTGGTCTTTCTAAATCATTGCTAGAATCTGATAAAGTTGTTGTTGTGTTTTTTTTTTCCAAGAAAAATTCGATCACAT